ATTTCAGAGCCAATTTCACATCTCAAATACGCTTTTTGGAGTCCTGATTAGTTAGCACTCCTTTACTTTCCAGTAATCAAAAGGATGTGCTTGAAGTTTTCCCTGAGATTTCAACACCTGTATGCAAATATGGACACAGCAATATGACGTCCATAGCATTGCCCCTCCCTGTAAAGAAATCCAAATGACCTAACTGGACAAAAGCATTAAGAATGCAAATCTGTTCTGTATTGGAACTCAGGGGATCTGATGAAAAGAGAGCTGTGAGGCAGGTAGCAGGAGAACTGGGAAGCAAGTAGCAGGAGAGTTGCAGCTAAAGGCAGTGACCCTGGAAAGCTTGGACCCTGGAAAGCTTTTGTGAGGAAGAGCACGTATGGAGTAAGGAGCTGAGATGGTACGATGTTTTTTTCCAGTGCATTTTCCTGTCTAAATACCATGACATACATGTACGTGTAATTTTATTGTCTGAACAATAAAAAATGAACAGTAGACAACATTGTATATATGCAGTACAAATACACATGCATGAGCTCATATCTCAACAAAAAATGTGATTCGTTAAAAAATCCATGGTACACAATAAACCATTTCTGATGAAAGAACAGAAAGAACTAGCTACAGCTAGGTGGGGGAAGAACAACAATCTAGACAAAGTAAGAAGCTATCTTGATAGCATGTGCATTGTCCACTGTACATTTCTGATTATTAGATTAAAAATGTATATATTATTCACTTCTTATAAGCTGCCTGATTTTCTCTTGATATGCATGTGTTACTGTCATTTTCCCATTAAATTGTTGTAAAAGGGATTTATTTTCCATTCTTCTCCACAGACAATAAAAATGCCATTTATCTCAATATAACATTTCAGCTTCCCACAACTATTTATTGAGTCCCTTCACTGACCTTCCTGAAAGTACATCCTTAGACACAACTGCTCTGGCACTGGGTTCATAGGGTTCCTGGGAGGTCACATTCACTTACTATACAGATAACTTCAAAAGTACCTGGAATATGCTCATGAGCAATTTTTATTATTACTTTCTTCCAATATTCTCATGTCTTAGTAAAGGATTTAAGAAACATGCACATTTGCTGTCATTATCACTAAACAAAGACCACGTATCGAACACAGTCTCATCGGGATCTAGAAGGGCTTAGCCTCATTTTCTAATTGTAAGCTCTAATTGAACAAAACCAGGGCTCCATCAACCTTGACTTAAGTCTCCATCAAGACTTGACTTAAAATGTCGAAAGACAGAATTCATGGAAGCATGAGTTCTCCCTTTTTATGAAATAACACAGAAAATGAGGAGGGGGTTAAATCAAATATTATCTACAATGTAAACTCATGAAACAATTGAAGAAATTATACATTTATGTGAATATTTAGCACTTATTACTGGTATAGTCCAATCTCTGTTCTATGTGTTTTATGTTTTATCTCATTTAACCTAACAGCCCTGTGAAGAGTAGTACCGGCACTATCAGTATCTGATAGACGAGAAGATGGGGAGTCAGAGCGATTCTATCACAGAACTGAGAAGTGGCAGTCTGTTGGCCACCTGTGCCTGAGGTCCTCCTCCTCACGCTCCCACTTAGCGCCTCTTCTGCTGGGCACTCTGCTACACATATCACTGTCATGTATACATTATTATGTCTATTATATAAGTAAGAAACTGACATTAAAAAAGAGATCACGTCTTTCCTGTGATCCCAAAACTAGCATCATCTAGGTTGAGATTTTGCACTCAAAGTTTTAAAATCTAAAAAGTTCTTTGGCATCACCAATATCATTGCCTTGTCTTTTTAAATGCTACAAGAGGCTAATAAACTGCCATTAGAAGTGAATTCCACCTGTACTACATACGTTTTTTGGTATTTTAAAATATTCAGCTCTACTTTTAGAAGACAAAAGAATAAACGGAATGGATAAAACCCATATTTTACATTAAATATGGGTAAGTGATAAATAATTACAACACATGTACATTAACCATAGATACTAAAGATGTATGAGGTAACTGAACATGAAACAATCATGATGTATTAAATATGCAAGAGACACAAAATACCCCTGGTATTACAGAGGAAGTGCTCAACCTTTATAAAACTCATCCCGGGTGGGTCTCAAGACGGGCGTCTCATGCCTGGATCCCGGACAGCCACCATGTGAGCATATGGTGAGCTGTTCCCGGGCAGCCAGTGCGCCATTTTGTGTCAGGCTCCGCCTGCTGGCCGCACGGCCAAGGAGCTCTGTGGATTTGGTTCTTTGAGTCACTGCTTAATTAGCTCCAGGTTGAACCCAGTGTGCTTCTTGGACCTGTACAGGCAGTAACTCTTCCTTTGTAAAACTTGTAATCACTGAACAATGCCGACCATCAAACACCAGTCCATGCAGAAGCTACGGCTTGGGGCTTGTCCTGCAAAAGTAGCTCCAACAGCTGGCTAATGTGTCAACTGGTAATGGAACAGAGTAGATCAGGCAGGACTGAGCAAACCTTAGCCCACAAGTAAAACTAGAAACCAGGAGGGAGCAGAGGTCATGCCGAGCTAGGCTCTTGTACCTACTGGTCTGCAGGAGCCAGGGACGCTAAGCCGCAGTGTCTAAGGCAGAGTTCGGGACAGGGGAGGGGCTGTGCCAAGTTGAGTCAGAGCATCCACTGGCAGGCAAGTGATCTATGGCTGGGAACAGACCCAGTTGGGGAGCAAAGGGGACAACCCTAGCTGGGCTGAGGTTCCCACCAAGGGGTGCGTGGCCTGGAAGGGGGGCTGCGTTCTGATCTGGAAACGGTTGTAGTCTCCCTTGGCACAAGTGTGGACTGGAATTGGATGCACCGAACCGGGCTGGACCCCAACACCCCCTGGTGTCCTGGAGGACCAGGGCAGATGTGCAATGGACTAGACAAGGTCTCAAACCCCTACTGAGCCATGTGTGAGCCATACGTGGGTATGGACAAACCATGGCTGGGCTGGAACATCCAACAGCAAGAACCAGATTGGGTGGAAGGCCAGTCAGGAAAAGCCACAGTTCCTGCTATGACAGGAGGTGGACTGAGTAGGGTTGGCTCATGGACCCACTGGTAAGTGTGAAACCTGGCATTGGGAGAGGTTCTGATGGAGGAGCCTGGGCAACTCCTCTTGCAGGACACAGACCCTGCAGGTAAGCGCAAGAAACATGATAGGAAACAGCCCAGAAAAGGCCATGGAAAGCTACACACTGGCATACACTTGGCAGACGTGGGGGCAAGACCAGGCTGAATCTGTCCACGTCATCCACTGGCAAATCCAGGCACCAGTGTGGGTCGACCCAGGGTCGGTCGCAACAAAGACTAGTGCAAAATATGGAATGCCGAGGTGAGGTTGCCTGTACTGGAAGGGACCGCAGCACCCAACCAACCTGAGAACAGGAAAGGAAGTGGACAAAGCCAGCAGGGGAATAAGGGAGGGTTCCTTTGCTGGACAGCTACTTCCGTAGGAGAGCATAGGCTGGGATGGGGGCAGACCAGACTAGGCAGAGCTACAACACCTGTGCCTCATGTGGACTAGATCAGGAAAAAGCCGGGCTGAGCGGATTATTCCTACTGGTGCAAACAAAATTAAAGTGGGTGAGGGTTGTTTGGGCTTAGCCACAGCATCAGCTGGAATCTGGGTGTGGGAGAGGCCTGGGAGGGAAATAGTGGGCTCATCCCTCTTGGGTTACTACTTCCACAGGAGGACATAAAACTAAGACAGTGGCTTGGGTGGAATGGGGTGTGGGACAGACTGGATTACTGCTACACTTACTGGTAAACCAGGGTAGGGGGCGGGCCTGGTGGGGGTTATTGTGGGTTGCTCCAACTAGGCTGCAGCTCCAACTGGTTTATGTGAGAGCCAAGTATGTGCTGGGCAGAAGCAGGCTGGACTGCAACACCCATTGGTTTGAGTGGAAGTCGGGAGTGAAAACAGAACCAACCCAGCAATTGCAACCACCAGCTGATTGGGGCGATGGATGGTGCCGGGCCCTGTACTTGTTAGCACATACAAGAAATTTCTTTGGAGATCTTCCTAATCTAAATGCTGGACTCAGAACCCTAACGAAGAAAAGAGAGAAGACAGAACAGGTCAACCAACCATCTCAGCTATGATGGACTATGTCAATCAGTGGATTTTTCAAAGACCGCATAGTGCTTGGAGTGGCAAGATTGACAGCGATTCATAACTGTTGCAATATCAAAACCACTTGAGCAAGAACCTCAGAGCATGCCCTACATCCGGGACCTGGGGAGGGTGGGAAATTGGGTGGGCCTTCCCCCTTAATACCCCCCTTTAAACATGAAGGGAACAATATGGAAAACATACTAGTATTATCCACTTTCCTGTAGCTCTTGAACCTTCTTACCCTAATTAACTATGTAAAGAACGTCAAAATAAAAATTCATAATAAAAATTAAAAAAAAACTCATCCCATGTTCTATGCTCAAGGAATGCAAATAAAACTCTGAACTGTTCAGCAGGATAGCTAGGAAGCTACAGCCATGGCTTGCATACCAGCCCCTACATCTCCCTGAAACAGCAAGCGTGTGTCATTGGCCTAGGGTGCTTTAGCTCTGGGGGTTCTACCTGGCGAACCTCACCTCTTATTTGCATAACTGCTATATTAGGGAGAAAGATGATTTGGCAGAGAGAAAGAACAAGTATAAATGCTGCTCATCTCAGCAGTCAGCGTGTTCATCTCACCTGCTTGCCCCATCCTACGTGTTCTTCTTTCCTTACGTCTTTACCTTTGTTTCTCTCCACATGCTGTAAATCCATCTCACACACCATGGAGCTCCAACATCCACATGTGGCACATGAGCCGCTGTGGTCTGTGAGCTCGTGGAGGCTCCCACAGTGTCCAGGTTACTTTCCACATCACTCCCTGAAGGACAGTGGCATCCAGAACAGCAGTGTGGCTTTCAAACAGGAAGTCGGAGGACATCTCAGGTTCTCTCTTCACTCCTACACTTTTTTCCACTCACCTTGCATCAGCCAGGGTGGCTCGCTCCACAGCCCATGCTGCCACAAATACTGCTGGAAACCCTGTAATCAGAAAGGGATTCAGACAACACATTTATGTTAAGATGATTTTTTTTTGTCTCTTATTCGCTATCTCTGGGTATGATATTAGCAGATGAGGGAGAAAAACAGACATGGAAATGTTGGTAAAAGTGCATGAAATAATTTTCATTTTTTCAATTTAAGACCGAGAAAATTCATGCTATTTGTCCCTGGAAGTCCGTAGATAAAGAAAGAAAAGAAAGACTAACCCAATTTTCATTGAGAGACTTGGGTCAAGCAGAAGATTCAAGTTCCTCAGAACAGAAATAGGCAGTGACAGGTACAAGTGACTCTTGCCATACCAGACAGAAGCTGATACAAGTTGTTGCTTCAAAGGATAAGATTTTTTTTTTCAGTCTAAAAAAATGGAAGGCTTAGGGAGTCTGCCCAGCAACTTAGAAAATCAGGAACTCTTAACAATTGAACCTCCTCACTGATGCTTTATACATCTCGAAAATGACGTATTTCCCTGCATTAGTAGCTTAATATAAATAGATCACTATGTTAGTTTGATGATTTTAGTATCATAAGTGATAAGCACATTTGGGCTTGTAACAACATTTTCATTGCACAGGCTTTCCACTAGTTCTTTACTCCACGGTAAATTTCATATTATACCTAATTTAATTTTGACAATAAAAAGGAAAAATAAGCCATAATTTTATAAAACAATGCAATAGAAGATTGCAAGATTTAATAGATGACTTTTCATTTAATTGTTTTCGTGACGCAAGTTGAAATAATAGAGATATGTGGAATACAATAAAAATACTTCAGAACTGGGAAGTACCATGCAAAGAAAGAATGAATTTAATAATCTACTTTAGGAAAGCTTGATCAAGCATAATCAAAAATTCTTCACATTTTAAAAACACATTTATGACTTTTCAGATATTGTTTTTTGGCAAAAAAAAGTGAACAGAGAAATAGGTTCAGATGAAGAAAATGCTCACAAAACAATGAAAATATGATGAGATCCTTAACAGAGAGTCATTTTGGCCTCCTCGGTTAAAAGGCCATCCAGCTCATCTAATTCAGCCTCAAATGATCTGGCTAACTGTTCAATTTCATGAATCTGTATTCTATATTTATTTCTTGTTTTTTTAACTTTTTTAATATGACGTTTCCACATTCTAGTAAATTTTGTCACAAACTGACCTAAATCTATTTAATCTTTTAATTTTTTATTGAAAGGCAGATTTACAGACACAAGCAAAGACAATAAAAAAGATCTTCTGTCCCATTTGGTGGTTCACTCCCAAAATGACCATAGCACCTGGAACTGAACCAATCCAAAGCCAGGAGCCAGAAGCTTCTTCAGTTTCCCACAAGGTACAGGGGCCCAAGGATTTGGATCTTCCTCCTCTGCTTTCCTCAGTCATTAGCAGAGAGCTGAAACAGGAGTGAAGCACTTGGGACATGAACAGGAGCAGCCAGGACATGAACTGATACCCACATGGGATGCAGATGCTTGCAAGATTAGAGTCAATTGAGCCATCACTCTGGTCCCAATTCTTGTTATTTCTTAAGAAAATCTTGTTTGTTCTCTCATCTACCCAATCATTAATCCATCCATCCACCCATTTATCCATGAAGCATGTATTAAGAGTTCACCTCTATATCCAGGATTATTGTTGTCTCGGAAGATGAAACACTCAGAAAATAGACCATACTCTTGTTTACCTGAAACTCAGACTGAAGTGAACAAGGTAAAGGCGACGATCCCTGTAGTTCTACCTACTTCCATGAAGAAAATGATCGATACTATGTAATGAGGAGAGCATGGCTGCTTCCACTTTTCACAGGATGACCAAAAAAGGCCTGACATAGCCCCCTTGGCTATTCTGTCTTGGTGAAAAGTTTTCCTCTGTTTCTTTATAATCACCTAATCAAATCAAACAGTTCCTGGATGAAATTCTATACATTCTTGTCTACTGGCACTTGAGTTGCAGTTTAGTTTTACATTTTGCCAAATGTCTTGTATCAGACTGTGTGTATGAATGAAATTATTTTTCTCATCCCAAAGAATGCTATTCACAAAAACAGAGATCATCACGAAGGAAAACGGAAATCACCATTTTTGTGATTTTTTTAAATTTTGTTCATCAGCATCCCATTATTACATAATCTAGAATACATACAAAGAAAAATATTTAAAATTTAAAATGCTTAAATTCAAATATTAAATAATTTTAATAGAAACATAAGTGTTATTCAATATTTACATTCACTAGAAACAGCTATTTTCGTAAGACACATCGGTGTGAATGAGTCTCGTGAGCATTTGGCTCAGTAGTTAAGGTACCACTTGGGATGCCTCATCCATATCTGGGTAGCAAGATTTCAGCCCTGGCTCTGCTTCCAATTTCAACTTCCTGCTAATGTGCATCATGAGAAGCAGCAGGTGATAGCTCAGATAGTTGGGTCCCTGCCTCTATTTGGGATACCCAGATGGAACTCTGGGCTTCCAGCTTTAGCCTGGCCTAGCCCTGGCTGTTGCAGACACCTGAGAGAGTGAACTCGCAGGTGTAAACGTCTTCTCTCCCTCTCTCCCATTCAAATACATAAAAGCTAATTGATGATATTTTTAACCTGATACATAGCATTAAAATAAGGAAACAGGTCTACGGCCATATCACCCTGAACGTGCCCGATCTCGACTGATCTCAGAATAGGGAAACAAATAAATTAACATTTAAAAAAAATCTGACTCATACTTCTTGGCAGGGAACTAAGGTTTGGATGTGTTGCCCCCTCCCCCAAAGGTTCATGTAACAGAAGTTCAGTCCCCAGCATGTTCGTATTGGCAGGTAGTGGAATCCTTGAAGAGACAGGGCTTAATGAATTGTGAGTGTAACATTAATGGAATCTCATGGGAGTAGGCTAGGTCTTGAGGAAAATGCGTTGTTGTAAAGCTGGTTGACCTTGTCAGCTCAGTCTCACAGCACTTCCCTTGTCATGTAATCTCTCATGTACACGCTTCCACCATGTGAAGTTACCTGCCACCACAACCTCACAAAACATCCATGTTCCCAGACCTCCAGAAATTGAAGCCAAACAAACCTATTTTTCTTGCTACTCAGCTTCAAGAATTTGATCATAGCAACACAAAATGTTCTCAAACGGAGACTTTCACACATATAACTGTTCTAACAGATGTTCAAAAAAATGTTTGCCAGATTGAGACCATGTTATAACAGGAATAATAATAAAACTGGAAGTTAATGCCTTCTTCTGATTACTTTCAAAAACACAAGATATGAAAACAATCTATTTGAGAATCTGAAAAGAGAGATGTGACTATGCAATATTACCTAGAGGTACTTTTACATGATAATATAAACATACTGGTACCCCATCTAACAGCTGAAAATTGAGGGTACTCGCTTATATAGAAGCAAATTATCACATTAGATAAGGACAAAGAAATAAAGCTGACACCTTTTAGGAGTATAACATAAACACAGGGGAAAATTTTTGGTTGAAAGAAAAAACTCAAATTAATAAAATGTTTGAAAAGTGTCGTTGACTAAGGAGACCATCCCATCAGTATCTGTATTCATTCTTTTATGCATCTGTTTTGTGATAAAAATTATAATACAGTCATTTCAAACATTTGTTTCTAATAAAGGCAAAACATCTATTCCTCTTCATTTTGCAATTTCCTTTTCTTCCAGTTTACAGTTAAGAGGCATGAAAATCAGGGTAAATAATGCAATGGCAGACAATACTCCAACGCAAGTAGTGTTTTTCTGAGCTTTTATCTAGCTGAAGAGACCTCAAAATTACAAGAGTGTGGTCCCCAGAGTAACAACGGAATTCAAGCAAGGTCTTTCCTCAGCTGAAACCAATAAATCGCATCACTAGAAGAAATATGAAACCAGTCCTTTACGAGTTACTCTTTCAAGGATTCTGCTATATCCAACTATAATGTTTCTGATTATTTTGAAAATGAGTTTGTAAAATCAAATACAAAAGACAATATTTTTAAAATAGAGTTCCAGTACAGAAATAAGAGAAAAACTACTTACTAATCAAACAGATTTCACTATGGCTTTTCTGAAACTGTTTAGGAGCAGAGAAATAGTCCTAAAGAATCTTTTCTGCAACTTTTAAAGAAAAAATATTATTTTAAAAAACAAAATCAAGCCTCTAGTCTTACAATGCTAAATTAAAATAACTCTCTTTGCACCCTTCCTATATATAGGAAGCAGCTCATCAGAAAAAAAAAAAGACCTAATTTCAGCAATATTATTCTCATTATATATGCCCCAGACTAGAATATCTTTTTTTTTCAAATCATGAAGTGGCAGTGATAGTCAGCAGGCAGACTAGCTTTAAAACTGGAACTCCATAAGTCCTGGGTCATTGCTGTTTAAGGCTGGCTAACCAAGCATGAAAATGCACACAAAATGCTTTCACAGTGAGTACCCGCGGAAATCCCACTTGCTCTCATTTATGCTTTAAACTATTCAATAAAATGGAAATTTCAAGATAATTTATATCAATTGTAGTTCACTCTTGTGCCAAAAATTTTTGAGTCAAATAAGTGAGTTTTTAAGCAAAGTAAGAAATTCATGAAGCATGGAAGCTCATTAGAATCCTGGCTGCTTATTACTCACCTTTTCACAAAAAGATGTGGAAACTAATTTGAGTTTGAGTAAACTTTTTGCTTTAAGAAGGGATTGACTGAGTGATACACACCCAGTAAAGAGTTAGAGGACTGTATGAGTTAGCTATCAGTACGACCAGTAAGTAAAGAGAAGAAAAGGCTGATTACCAATGTGATAAGCAATGTAGAAACCAAAATAAATAAATAAAATATATTTCAGATACTTATATTAACTCCTGAACTTTTTAGAAGACTTAAAAGAAAAGGTTTTAAAAATGTATTTATTTTATTATTGCATGACAGACTTCCATTCCCTCTCCCCGACCTGTCAACCCTCACTGATTTCCCCCATATCATTACAATAGTTCAGTCCTTCACAGTCAGCTGAAAGTCCATCATTCCGCTATCCCGGCATTGTAGGCATGGACAGAGTTCAGCATTCTATTATCAAGATACATTCAACAGTTTTATTGGGAGTCCAGCTTTGATCTGGAAGAAGAGATGCGCATTGCATTGTATCTTCACATCTGTATGTGATAGTCTCCACTACACAGTCACTGTACATGCCCTTAAATGAAAAGCCAAAAAGCAAAATCAACAGCAGAGAGAAAACTAGAAAAATGTACAATGCCATGAAAATTAAATAACATGCTAATGAATGAGCAATGTGCAGCTGAAGAAATAAAAACAAAATCAAAGACCTTCCTGAAGCAAACAATACTATTGTGTGACCTATGCGCAAGTGAGAAGAAAAATAAAATCTTTTATTTGAATGAAAATAAAAACAAAAGACTCAAACCCCCTGGGATGTAGCAAAAAACAATATTGAAAGGGTTATTGATCCTGTATTTTGCATAAAGGTTGCTCTGTATCAGAGAAAGCATATGCTATTTGTCCTTTTGGGATTGACTTGTTTCACTGAACATAATGACCTCTAGGCAGAAATATTTGGTTGCAATTGATAGAATTCCATTCTTTTTAATGGCTGAGTAATATTCCACGGAATAGAAATACCACATTTTCTTTATCCGCTCCTTTTTGGATGTTCATTTGGATTGTTTCCATGTCTTTGCTAATATAGATTGTGCTGCTGTATTTATAGGATTATTGATCCCCTTCTCATATGCATATTTCATTTATTTTGGATATATTTCCAAGGATAGCTGGGTAATATGGCAGGTCAATTTTTAGTCTCTTAGCACTCTACACTTATTTATTGGAAAGAGAGAACGAAAGAGAAAACACTCTATAGTTTGCTCCCAAAATGCCTTTCTTGAAACAGCCAGGAATGAGTCTAGCTGTAGCCAAGAAATAGGTCCCCCCTTAGGTGGCAGGGACCCAATTACTTGGTCATTGCTTGTATTTCCTAGGATATGAATTAACGAAAAGCAGAAGTCAGAAGCTGGAAGCAGGTATCAAGTCCAGGTTCTCAGGCCTAGCGTCACCCACATAAATTACACCACATGCCACATGAACACTTCACATGAGAAACCTGGCTGGTTCACTTTGATCCAGCCCTCTGACAAAATGGCTGGGAAAGCAGAAAAGACAGACTTGGTACTTGGATAACTGACAGGCACAGGGGAGACCCAGATGGAGTTCAAGGCTCTTGATTTTGACCTGGCTCAGCCCTGAAAATCACAGCTGTTTGAAAAGCAAACCAGCAGATGGGAAAATTTCACTGTCTCTCCATCTCTTGGTAATTCTAGGTAATTCTATCCTATATGTATGTATATATATATATGTAATTCTATCCTATATATATTTTTAAGATAAAATGTATGTATATATTTTTTAAAGATAAAATATATGTATATATATCTTATCTTAAAAACATGTACTCCGATATGATTTACAAACATCTTAATCACTACATCAAACATTGACTTTCACCTGCATAACTGAAATTTTTTCCAACAAATCTAAGAAACTTTAGGAATTGCTGCATGTGGGTACACAGAAATAATTTTCAAATGAAGACAAACTATTGAAAACTTGTGAAGGAAATTTCTAAAATGGCCTTAGAAATAATTTTTATGAATTGCTAGCCAAAGATAAGGGACAGCCCTAAAACTTGAGATGCCTTCAGAAATAACACTATGTTTTTAGCAATTAATATTTCAAAAGGAAGTGCTGCAATAAATTTTCACTTGGTATTCTTAAGGGTTAATAATTAGCTACTAGGAAATTAATATTTCTTCACATTTTCAAGTGTTAAAGTAAAACAGGCACTGGAAAATCCTTATTCTTGAAGGGGAAAAAACTTCAAAGTCAGTACTTTTTTTCGTATTGAGAACTTAATAGTTTAAATATGAAAATAGCAACTGAGATCTGTGAGTTAGCTTTCAGAAATCTCTTAATTTTAATCACACACAAGTTTTAATTTCCCTTAAATTTGAACAAATAAACAGCATCCTCGTCTCCTTATCAATTGAGTTCGGGTTGGATCCAATAATCACTCCTAGATGAATAAGTGATTTTTAAATGCAAGCTGAACACATTTTTATAATTATTTATAGACAACATAATTTGAATGATCGCCTTCTGAAAGAAACGCTAAATCCACATTAGTTCCTAATTTGCATTTGTTAAATATAGTTAACTTGATTATATTAATTTTTTTCTAGCATTCGCCTCATCTGTCTTAGGAATATAAATCAAAGACACATTACTATCGTGTCAAATTTCAAAAATGAAAATTTATAGAATGAACTTATGTCAAGGCAGAACACTGACTTAGGACAACAAGAGTAGCTGGGAATGTGCACAGCTAGCAATATATTTTCTATGATTTCCTCCAATAATTTAGCCAAAATGCTAACCTACACTTGAAATCATTGCTGCCAATGAGAGAACTACAAAATCATTCTGAATTATTTCACCTAGGAACAATGAAAGAGAAAGACGGTGGAATAAACATAAAATGGAGAGGTGGGTGGTTTCAAAAAAATGGTGGGAGAAATGCCAGGCTTGAAAGTAAGCCCTTAAGTTTCACAGTAATTGAAAGGAAAGGTGATAAGGTGCCTTACCCCATCCTATTAAGATGAAGCCCCACAGGTATCTGCTGTCTGAAAAGAATGCCACGAAGATGAGACTGTGCAGGTAGAGACCTTCCACCAGGATCCAATAGTAGTTTGTAGCCAAGAAGTAAATAAACATTACAACAGCAATCTTGCAACCAATCTGTTTTAAATAAACAGAAGTGGATTGTATTAGAATTGTACAGGCTGCCCACATTAGACCATTACAAAAAGAGTTCTTCAGTTTATTTATAATCACTATATTATATTAAAAAAAAAAATGTCTTCTGTTTGCTGGAAGGCCAACATTCCAGGGAGAGATCAGACGTTATTTTAACATGGCTTTTTAAACACAACAGTTTCAATTTCATTCCTAAAATAAAATGTTTTCCTTCAGAAATTAAGAACAAAATCACTTTTTAACTTTTTACCTTTTTAAAAATAATACATGAGCATCAGATGAAATTTTAAAAGCATGAGAAAATAGTACTTACTTTTCTACAATGCATTTATTTATTCTGATCTTTTAAATGTAAATATTGCTTAAAATGACCAAAAAAAAAGGTAATAACAAAACCACAAACATCTAACAGGTCTTATAAATCTGTGGATTGTGGAGGAGCTTTGAGGATCTAAGCTGGCTCATCTCAGCCAGACTTACTCTCAGAGACCACTTCACCTGACACACTGGCACCTTACTTCCTTCTGCTGAAAAGGAAAACACCAAGGCCAGTCCAGAATCAGAAACAGCAGAAACTGCAAAATCACAGTGAACAGGCATAGCTATGGGCAAGGTACTGACCCATACAATCGAATCAGTAACTCATCCACTTATCCCACTTTGTGACCTAATGAACTAAATGGTTGTGTGATTCTACCTACAACCACCAAGACATTTAAGAGCAAGATAGATTACTACAGAATACTATGTTGGAACAAAATTTCGTATCCATGTCGAAGAACTCAGTTCTATGGGCCTTTACATCCCAGGTTTCTTATGTTTGTTGATGGGTTTTTCATTTTTGAAAGCAATGAGCTACGACCATTTTTACAGAACATGCATTCCATGCCATTCCAGCCATGTGCTTTCTATAGTGTCCTTTCCAAAACATTTTGGAAGACCCAAGCACTTTCAACAATTAAAATGATGCATGATTAGACATGAGAGGAGTGAATAGAGGTATAGATATGAGTATACAGATTGTCAGTCTGATTCATTTAGTTAGGAGATAAGACAACCCATAGCAAGTTAACAAACATTCAGTGGATTGCAAATTTTTACTTATTCATAACATCGTACAAATCAGCAGTGAGCAACAATGGTGAAAATACTTACATACTGTGACTTGTCCACAGATGGTGCCTCAACGGAATTTTGTAGACCGTCCTGCATCAGCAGAGACTTCAGCTCCTTGACACCTATGTGAGCGTGGACCACTTTATCCTTGACAAAGATGCTGGTGGCTCTCATCATGAATGACACAAATAAGTGCATGTGGATATAGTTCCTAGTGCAATGCAAGCGTCTGTGGGGAGAAATATTCACTAACTGGATCTGGGCAAAATTAGAAATAGGGACAGACTGTAAGCACAAAGACCTCCCCAAAAAGAAAGTATGATAAACCCAGACAAAAACAGAAGCTCATTATTAGATGTTTCCAAAAAAGAAAAACATCTGAAACTAAAAAGTAACTTTTGGAGAATTAAATTCACATATATCCTGATCTTCTGTCATGTTCATCCAGATGTTGCAGTGTTAATAGTAAATATCAGTACAGATGATACTATCTATTAAAGTGATAAATGATTCATAAGAGTCACCTTGAAAAAGGATAAGCATTATTGAAACCTGAACTCCCAATTTTTCAACATATTCTGTATGAGGAAAAGATACTCTAGAATGACATGAATTTCCTAAGAATAAACAAGTTTATTTTTAACTTAAGCTTACAACTACAAAGGAATGCTAGACACAAGATAAGCCAAAAACACACTTAAATTAGATATAATTAAATTCTTGCACAGAAATTTATAAATAAATAAAAATTATATTTTATATTAATGAAAATCACACATTATGAAAATGATTATATTTCCTTGTCAAAAGGTCTGAAACCACCATTTATTAATCATAAGAAAGCCAAACCCAAATGCCCAACTTTTCTGTTCAATAAATACAGTAATATTGCTTTTCTTCTAGAAAGGACAAAGTAGGCAAATATAAGGGAATAAGATATATTAATCCATTAATATATTTTTTACTCTTAGTTATTATAATACACTTATATTCTCTTATTTTAAAATCACTCTTATTTTTAAGAGTGATACTAGATCAAGTATATACCATGATTAATATTTTCAACTTTCTATAATATATAAAATTTTATAATATAAAAATGGCATACAAGCCAGCAAATTCACATATATACTTCACAGGGTAATCAGAACCCAGATGAAGAAAAATAATATCCACTGCCAAAATCCACCCTCACGTCTCATTCCAGTCACTGGATTACCAAAGGGAGCATCAAGAAGAAGCCCTCCCATGTCCACCTTTTATAAAAATGGAACCAACTACTATGTTTTCTTTTGTGTCTAGATTGAATTTCATAATACGGGGGACAGTCTTAGTGAGAACATGCTGAAGTAAGACATCTGGGAAATGGCTGGATCAGTATATATTATGGGCATATGTTTATATCCACCATGCCCGGACAGCTCTCATTCACCAATTCCTTACAATGAAGCCATATACAGTCAGATAGGCTATCATGTATACGTGACATTTTCTATGAATGGAGCTATCACAGGATGTAAGCAGACTTTACTGTCCTAATAAAGGAATACCTCATTTTGTGAAATAGAAAAAAGTTTCTGAAATTTTTTTATGTTTTGTTATCAAGGATAGAAATGACAAGAAAGTATATAAAATGTGTAAAGAATACGTAAATACTATGATGAGTTATGGAAACCAAGTAAGTTTTACTTATTCTATCCTGCTTAATTTTCACGTAGCTTTGTTTCAGAACCAGGTGTGATTTAATTGAACCAGCTCTCTATGAGAAGCCAGATGATATAGGTTCTATCACCAGCTCAACCACCTGTCTGACTTTGTGATCTCAGACACAGAGCCTCAAGCACCTGTGCCAAGCCAACCTCTCAGGGCTGTTTTGAGGAAACCTTCTCCACTCCTCCAAATCTGACCATGGGGCTCTTCTACACAAAAGTAAAAATGCATTAGCTGTTATCCTTATGTGGCAAAATTCAAAGGACTTGATGAGGGTTTACAAGACCTTGTGCTGCAAAATCTAATTCCTTCCTGGCATCAAATGCTGCATATGTGTGGGCCTCTCCTATGTTCCCTAAGTGGTCTGCTTCTTTACACTTGTGAATCTCTGCACATCCTCCCATGCTCTACAGTGGAACATATTACTCAATACTGGTTCAAATTTCAGTTGCTCTAGGATGCTCATCCTCTCTCCCCTCCCCTTTCTTTCCTCTCCTACTCAGGGTTAGACTATTATCTTGGTGCTCCCCAAATCTTTCATACAAACACAGTATAATGTGTACATTGCATAATGTAATCATGCAATGGTTCACCCTCTTCTCTGGCCTAGAGCATAAATTATCTTAAACTTCAATGACACGTGAAAAAAAGGTCTGTTGCATGGAAAAATTTTTTGCGTTAATATTGAATCATTACAGAAATCCTAAATTCCCAAATTTTCTTTGCTTTTTCTTATTCTAAACACAGGTTTCTATCACTCTTCACTATTCTCTTATTATGATTTTATTTATGCCTGAATGTGAATTGAAAATTCACTTCATCTAAAAGACTTTCCCTCTCATTTTTCTCCTGTCTAAATTAATATACACCATTTGCATTCCACTTTCCATGAGCTTTTTATAGTGCTTTTGCACTTAGTGCAGAGCTGTTATCGTAGAGTCTTTAAACTTTTAACCAAAACAAAACAACTGAGTTAATCAGAAAAATTGTCAGTCAATATAATCAAAATCTGTACCTGGAAAAAATATTTGGGGCAGACACAGAGGAGATCCCCTCCATCTCTGTGGGTAGAAATGGAACATGTCGCCTCCTGAAAACAGTCCGTGGGGGCACCTTACCTGAAGTAACCAATGAGGAGAACAGCCACCACCAAGGAACCCAAGGAGATAGAATAGCCAACAGTGTACACAACATAGAGGCGCTCAAAGAATTCTTCCTATAGAGAAGAGACAAGAAAATATAATACATTAAAACACTGCTTTACCAGGAAACTGGTATAAGCCAACGTTATTTGGGGAAAATCATTTCTTCTTTAACTTTTTTCTTTGTTTCTTTCAATTCTTCTTTTAATGTACCTTGTTAGTATACAACAATTTTCTTGGAAAATACTGATCATCCTAGCATTCTTTTTTTTTTTTCATTTTATGACACGGTTCCATAGGCTCTGGGATTCCCCCAACCCCTCCCCAAGCCTTCCCCCTATATTAATTTCCTCCATATTGTTACAGTAGTATAGCTCATAACCAGTCATAATTCCATCATTGTGGGCATGGACCATGTAGGGAGTCCAGCATCGTATTGTCCAGATAAATTTAACACTTTCATTGGGACACCATCCTTGGTCTGAAAGTAGAGCTGGCAAAATATCATCCCCTCCAATGAAGAGCCACAACACGAATTCAACAACAGGAAAAAACATGGAAATTTACAACATCATGAAGTTAATTGGCATGGTATTGAGATCTCTTTTAACTTTTAAAACGGCAACTTATATGCAGTAAGATTTAGAGATTTTGATTTACTAGTTTAGTGGGTTTTGACAAGCCATTTTCATTTCTGCCCCTTGCCAACAACAAAATGGTCCACCTTCTACCTCCAAGTAACCACTGCTCCAATCCCTGTCACCCAGAGTTAGCTTTATTTGTTCATGAACCATATATACTCCTTGATTGTTCTTAGCCTTCTTAGCGTTACATGGTATATGCCCTTTTCTCCACACAGTGTTTCTCTTTTCATCAATATTGTTACCTGCATTAATGGTTAATTCCTTTTTTAATTTTTTGATGTTAAAATTCTTTTAGATTCGTGGAAAATACAGTAGGAAAAGTCTCATGTATTCATCACCCAGTATCCTCCATTAGTTGTATCTTACATAATTAAACCATCAAAAGCAGGTATCTGACATCCGTGTAATGTGTATATTTATAGTCCTGTGTCATCTTATTACATATGTACAGTTTTAGAATGCCCACTGTAACCGTGTTGCAGAACAAACCCACCAGCACAAAGGCCACCCTTGTGCTGTCACTTCACAGACACACCCACCCTCCTACTCCCCACCATCTGGGCTGACAATCCTTACTTTGTTTCCTTCTTTGTCATTGTGTTCTTTCATAACATTGTATTAGTTACGCAGTATGAGACCTTTAGAGATTGCCTTGCTTACTTAGAGTAATGTACCCAAGATCCATCCAAATTGTCACACATAGCTCTGTTATGCTGATAAATAGTACTCCATGGTACATCTGCATATTACATGGTATATTTGAGCTCTTTTAAAAATACTTATTTGTTTGCAACTCAGAGTTGCAGAGAGAGGGAGAGACAAGGAGCTCACCATCTTCTGATTCATTCTCCACAAGCCTCAACAGCTAGACCAGGCTGGAGTCAGGAGCCAGGAGCTTGTTCCTAGTGTTCAGGGTGGTAGAAACTCAAGCACTTGGGTCATCTACTGCCTTTCCCATTACCAAGGAGCCAGATTAGAAAAGGAGCAGCCAGCATTCGAACGAGCACCCACTTGGATACTGGCAACGCAAGCAGCCGTTTTACTGGCTATACCACAACTCTTTGACCCCTGAAGCAGGCTTCTTGTAGATAGCATTAACTTGGGTCAAAAATAACTCACATCTATTGATTCAATCCCCAAATGCCCACAACATTCAGAGCAGGATTGTGCCAAAGCCAGGAGCTACAATCTTGATTCAGGTCTTCAAAGAAGGGATGCAGGGAGCTCAGTTACTTGAGCCACAAGCTCTGCCTCTTGGGGTCTGCACTAACAGGAAGCTGGAGTCAGAAGCAAAGTGAGATAGTAAACACAGACACTCTGACACAGGACAGCAGCATCTCACCTGCTGGCCTAAACGCCTGCTCCCAGGCCATTGACTTGTAATATCACAGTGACATATTAAAGCAATGTCCATCTTCTCACTTTTAAATTTATCATCCTATTTTTTTTTTTACTTATCTGGTTTATTTTTCCCTCTATCCTGTTTTATGAGTCATTTTTTTAGAATTCCATTTTATTGCATCTTTGTATTCTGTTCCTAATGATTGCTATGACGTTAGGGTTAGGATAATATGGAAATGGATTGATGAATTTTCACCTTTCTTCTTTTTTTCTATTAAACTTACCTCTAAACTCTAACTTCTTATTTACCCACAATTTTTCATTCAATGTATTTTCAGATTTATTGAGTCTGAAGTTCTGTCATTTGACATGTAATTTCTTATTATGAATTGCCCATACATTTCATTTTAATTTCTTTCCAATTAAGCCATTTGTAGCGAGAGTTATAATCTTTTACTTAAATGTTGAAATTCATTCACACTTGTTTTGGTGAACTTTTAGTGCGTACCTTAAAGGAATATGAACATTGCATTGTTTATTATGGTAATCTATTCTTTTTGCCTTTAATTTCACATAATCTGATACCACTATATATTATCTCACAGGTCTCAGATTATTCTGATTTTGTCATTTATGTTTCCTCTTAATACTTCAGTCAGATCATTTCCATTGGCTTTTTGTCAAGTTTATCAACCTTTTATCACACTAGGTCTAGAACATCAAATGAATTCTTCATTTTTTATTTTGCAGTCTTAAATTTCTGAATTTTCCTTTGAATCTCAAAAAATTTATTGACTTACATATCTACTCTTGTTTTTTTGTGTTTAAAGGATGGATGGAAATCTCAAATTCACTGGTTCACTTTCCAAATGTCTGCAATGACCCATTGGGAGAGGTCAAATTTAGAAACCTCAACGTGGCTCTTCCCCATGGTGGAGGGTCTCAAGTCCTTGAACTACAACCCACTGCCTCCAAAGTGCAGATTATTAGGAAACTAGAACTAGGAGTGAATCTAGGACTCAGATCCAGGCATGCCAACATGGGCTGTCTAAGCGGCAGTTTTCCAAACTAAGAACCCAGTGTGCGTTCAAGCCAAGCCATAGCGCTGGCAACTTCTGAGGCTTCACTTTGCCCTTCAGCGCCGAATCTCCAGGGATATGGTGCCATTCTCAGCTAACCCCACTTGCTTAGAGGAAGACTCTCAGTGACTGACAGATCTTTCCTCCTGTCACTTTGTCAGCCGGCAGCCTTTCACTCAAAGACTTGTGCCTCTCTGGGGATTTCTCTTTCCCTGGCAGGTGGGCTGCGGAAGTTACACACCTGGTGAGGCCCCTGTGTGCCTCAGGGAGAAACGCCTCCCTGTTCCTTTGCTCCGCCCCTTGCCTTCAGCTAACCGGGGTCTTCCTTCTGAATGCCTCTGCTCACCAAGTCCCAGCCTTTGCTCCACTGTCTCCATGAGCCCCCCAAAGGCTGCAGGGACCTCACCGCGGCCAGGACTTAATCATTCAGTTTAAAGGCTTCCCTTCTTTCTTTTTATCCCCTTCTGCGATCTGGTTGCTCACCTAATGCTAGGAACCCAGGGAGAAGTGCGTGGGTTTCTTCTCCCATTGGAAAGGTTTGTTCATTTCTGGGATTGAGTTCATTGAAATTTCACAGCCACCTTGCATTTGTCAGGACTGAAGGCACACGTTTTTTATAAATTATTGACTTTATCTCTTACACAACGTATTATTATGCCTGCATACATTCTGACTAGAAGCAGAACACTTTACTGCTTATTAAATGTTTTAAGTGTGGTTGAAGACATATTATTTCTATTAACTTTATCACTTATCTTTAAATTTTCCATAGGAAATACTTGGATAATGTTTAAAATAGAAGAAGAGGAAAAGAAAACCTGCTAACATCTCAGTCACCGAAAGGAAACAATGTTGGCATCTCATGTATTTCTTTTCAGTCTGTTTCTGTGCATCAGTTTCTATTATTATAAGTATCTGCATTCTAAATTTATATGCAAATTTATTAACTGATTGTTTTTTCAGTTAACAATATGACAAATGAAACTCTCAAGATTGCAAGTTATTTATTAAAAATGCATGTTTGACCTCACCTCATCAGTTATTTATTGAAAATTTAAATTCTTCAAAATAATCATTGCAATAATTAACTGTTAAATGACATTTTTTTCATTCATTTACCTCACTCCAAATCTTTTCTCACTATTCAGCTTAGATTAAGACAGAAGCACACTGCCTCCTCAAATGTTTTGAAAATACATTGAAAAACTACCATCTAAAAGTAGCCAGCTTATTTATGAATAATGTTATACAATAATTTCTATGGTATGATACTGGTTTTTTTAAAATATTTATTTTATCTTTATTGGAAAGGCAGATATACAGAGAGGAGAGACAGAGAGGAAGATCTTCTGTCCGATGATTCACTCCCCAAGTGAGCACAACGGCCGATGCTATGCCGATCCGAAGCCAGGAGCCTCTTCCGGGTCTCCCACAAGGGTGCAGGGTCCCAAAGCTTTGGGTGTCCTCGACTGCTTTCCCGGACCACAGGCAGGGAGCTGGATGGGAAGTGGAGCTGCTGGGATTAGAACCGGTGCCCATATGGGATCCCAGGCGTACAAAGAGAGGACTTTAACCACTACGCTATCATGCCGGGCCCTAATTAACTTTTGCATAATTTTCACAAATACATTTTGGGTATATTATCCATCTTCAGTTGTTTAGATTCTTCAAATACAGGATTATGAGTGTTTATAAGATTAGCATGAATAAAGACATGATTTAATTTAATGACCAACTAAAAGCTTTGAAAACTTGAATTTGTCATTTTAAAATATTTTAATTATTTGAAAGGCAGAGAGTCAGACAGACAAACAGAAAAGAGACAGGAAAGAGTGCCTACCTTTCCATCCCTACATGCCTACAACAGCAAGGAACCAACGGAAACTCTCTAACTGGGAACTCAAAACTGGTCTCCATGCAGGTGGCAAAAGCACAAATCATGTAAGCCATCAGGTATCAGCCCTGCCTCAAGCAGTCTGCAATAGCAGGAAGCTCCTCAGGTGCAGATCCCAGTGTCCAACCAAAGCCTTCCATATGAGACGCAAGGATCTAAGCACTAGGTTAAACACCCACCTTGCATTCATCAGGACTGAAGGCACACAGGAAGAGCATCAGAGGATATACCAAGTATCAGTGAATGTTTGCTACTGCCAATGAGCTAAAGATTATTTCTGAAGCATCTAAATGTAAAATGCACAGTCCTTCAGGAACATGAAATGAGACAAGATGCAGCAATTCATGGGTCACTAAATTTATAAAATCATTGAGCATGTTGCAGATTAGTTATTGTGATTTTCTATGCTTGTAATACAATATAATGAAAATATAACATAAAATGTAAATATAACATAATACATGTATTTACAAATATCTCAGCCAAGTAGCTCATCTAAAGAAAATACCAACACGTTTCAGATACATTTGAAAGAGTCCAACATTGCTTTTATCTTTAATGACCTCTGTGCCACAGAATGAAAGCATTTTTCAATAATGATTGATAACCAACAATCACATAAAACATTATTCTATTTTCCCTTAAGGTTCACAAATAAAAAAATTTCATTACCTTTCCAGTGCTGATATCTGACTGCATAAAGCGAAGGCAGTCTGAATAATTAGACCATGTTTTATTTAAGCTATGAACAAAATCCCATGTTCCATTGCGGTTACAGTGTCGGAAAGCAACGCCTGTAAAGACATAAAAAATATTTACATTACTCAGCTCCTTTGGAATCCATTACAACAACAAAAAAGCCAAGTACATTTCTGTTTCACATTAATCATTGCAGAACAATTCATTACCTTTATGATTGAAGTCAAAAATATATGAAGGGCAAGGGACAGCTAATATTTTCCCCACTGTTCCTCTGGGCCAGCAAATGAGTCCATCCCATTCAGGAAAACAATTGCCTTCTGACAAGGAAAGAAAAAAGAATAAAAAGCAAATAAACTTTAAAAAAAAAAAAAAAACAGCCAGAAGCATTACAAATGCATTCAAAATGCAAAATTTCAGGTCATTACCTATGCCAAAATACAAAGCAAATTGTTAATCTGTCAAGCTAGAATGGAACAGTTAGATAACATGCAAATGTCTCAAAATTTTCTACCAGGCCTGTAGGAGTATTTTACTAGCATAAATTTCAAGAATTCATTTTTGCCAAAATATTAGTTATGATGATCATAACAAAGCGTATTTAAGAAACATTGGAAATGAACTTCTATAGATAAAGTCTTCCCATTATTGTCATTGTAGTTCTCTTTTTATCCAAGATATTTTTCAGTTGTTGTTTTTAAAAAAAAAAAAAACACAGATGACACTTCACAGATAAGCCTCAAAATGAAGTTCTTTCCACCAGTAATTTTAATAATTTCTCTGGGTCCTGTGTACATTTCAAGCATAATTATCACAAGCTCTACCCTCGTCAAGATGAATACACATTCCCACCACTTCTTACATCTTCCACTGCCACAAAGACAGTCCACATCAAACAGAGTGTGGGTCATGACAAAAGCAGTGCACAACACGGAATGCCAAGGTGAGGTTGCCTGTGCCAGATGTGACCGCAGCACCCAACCAGCACACGTGAGAACCAGGAAGGGAGGGGGCAGAACCGGCATGGGAATAAAGGGTGGTTCCCTTGCTAGACAGCTACTCCCACTGGAGAGCATGAGCTGGGATGGGGGTAGACCAGACTAGGCAGGGCTATAATACCTTTGGGCCTCATGTGGACTAGATCAGGGAAAAACCAGACTGGGCTGATTATTCCTACTGGTGCCAACAAAATTAGAGTGGGTCAGGGTTGTTTGGGCTTAGCCGCAGCATCAGCTGGCAGAAACTGCCACTGGGGGGCTAGTTCTGTCAGGTTAAACCACAGACCCACTTGGAGAGTGCATAATCTGGGAGTGGGAGTGTCCTGGGAGGGAAATAGTGGGCTCCTCCCTCTTGGGTTACCACCCCCAACGGGAGGGCAGGAAAACTAGGACAGGGGCTGGAGTGGCTAGACAGAGAGACACGCAACAACATCTGATGGAACAAGGTTTTAATACCCATTGGCATGTATGAGAGCAGAAGGGGATGTGGGACAGACACACATACTGGTAAACCAGGGTAGGGGGCGGGCCTGGTGGGGGTTATTGTGGGTCACTATCACTAGGCTGCAGCTCCGACTGGTTTATGTGAGGGCCAAGTATGTGCTGGGCAGAACCAGGCTGGACTGCAACACCCATTGGTTCCAGAGGAAGACAGGGATGGAAACAGAACCAACCTAGCAACTGCAACCACCAGCTGATCGGGGCGATGGACTGTGCCGGGCCCTGTGCTTGCTAGCACATACAAGAATCTGGTCTGGGAACACGTCAGACAAAGTTTCTTTGGGAATCCCCTCAATCGAGCTTCCGAACTCTGAACCCTAACCATGAAAAGACAGAGAACAGAACAAGTCAATCAACCACCTCAGGTATATGTTGGCAGTGAAAATACTTGGCAGAGACTCTATGATGGACTATGTCAATCAGTAGATTCTCCAACGACCTAATTGTGCTTGGAGTGGTGAGAGTGGCAGCAATTCAGAACTGTTGAACTATCAAAACCACTTGAGCAAGACCCTCAGAGCATGCCCCACATCCAGGACCTGGGGTTGGTGGGGTCTGGGTGAGGCTTCTCCCTTAAAATCCCCTTTTACATCAGATATACTAAGGAAACAATACAGAACTAATTATCTTGCTCATCTTCCTGTAGTGCTTGAATCTTTTTACCCTAATTATGTCAAGATTGTCAAAAAAATAAATAAATATTTTTTAAAAATTTTTAAATGGGGAGAACAGAAATGAATGGGGTACTTAGCAAGCTCATGCTTGTATTCTACATTGTCTTCTCATTATATAGTATGTTATGGCTGAAAAAAATTTCATTGCAATAATTTCATGTAAAAGCATGAAATGTTAGATGTTTAAAAAAAAAAAAAAAGACAATCCACATCATCTCACATCCATCATCCTGGATTACTGCAATCGTCTCCAGCTGGACTTCCTCACTCTACTCTTGATCCCATAGGACAGTTCTCTGGATGGCTTGAAACCAGCCCAATTCTCTCCACCACTTTTGCCATAGTTCTCAAGAATAACTCTGGGTGTGCTGGGAATACAACATCCAGACTGAACACCCTGGGCTCTGTTCCATTCCCTCCCAGCAAAGGTGTCTTTGCTAGTTTGTCCCAGTGAGTCTCCTGTTCCCCAAGGCAGATAATCCAGTGTCTGTTCTTTGGCAAGCTTCACATACGGTGCAGGTAGGGCATGTGCAGTCAACATTCCATCCACTCTAGGCAGCATTCTGATCCTTGGCAGACCCAACTTGCAATGGTTCCTGACGTTCACTTGCCCTATACAGCCCCAATAAACCCATTTTATTTAATCTGTTGTATACTTAACTGTACTCTGCACCATTGGACTCAGACTTAAGTCTGTAACTATGCATTATGAACAAGGTTCAAATCCTCATTTCCTTTATTTTCAGCACCATAGCTCCAAATCCTCCCCAACTTACTTTGTGCAAAAGACTGATCTCCAGAGTGTCTGAAGACAACACACTCTGCTACCTTCCCCATCTTGCTGATCTTAGCTTCTGTGTGGTTCTTGCCCCCAGCCAGGACTCTGCCTGCCCTTCCTTGGCATCAGCGCCTTTTCCCCGAGACAGCACCAAGGCTTATGCCCTTCCTTCTTTTAATGTTCACTCACATAAACTTTTTCATAAAATTTTTCCATTAAAATAGCATTCTGAAACACTACCTATCCTGTTCCTTTTCCTGCTATATTTTCATCTGAGTTGTATCATCTTCTAGGATTAAGTGTTTTGGGAATCCAGCATGCTGACAGATGACAGCAAGCAAGGAGACTGCTGTGGGGACTTGAACACATTTGCATGCAGGCCCTGGGAAGATGGGTAGGGACTACCCCACCGGAAGACTGGGCTCAGAAACCCATGCACTTGCAGACAGGGGAGCTGTCGATTACTCAGGGAAGAAGGTATGAGTATGTGTGGGAGAAGTGCTAAGGAAGCACATCACAGGTGAGGAATGACTAATGAGGGACTCCCACCAACCCTGTACTTGCAGGTAAACAAGGGGGCTGAGACCAGGTAGTTTGGAAGAGGAAAACCAGAGGAACTTTATGAGTCATACCAATGTACCTGGCAACATGAAGGACCTGAGCTGGATTAGTTAGCACCAGCCACCATAGGTTATACAAGAGCCCAACTGGGAGGCATCATGGACCAATTTGCTGTACACACTGGCACATGCAGGAACCAGAGCTGGAGGTGGGCCTGGTGGGGTTATATGGGGTCACCCTAATTATGCTATAGTTCTCGCTGTGTGACCAAGGGCCAGCTCTGTGGCACACTGGGTTGGGCTTGGCCACAGCACCCTTCAGTTTGCATAGGACATGGGACTGAGGCCAGAACTGACTAGGCAAATATACTCACCAGTGCATACATAGGCTTATGTAGTTGATGGACTGAACAAGAACCTGTACTGGCTGACACATACAAGTTAAATCTGGGGTCACCATTGGTGAGGTTTCTTGGAGGGGAGAGAGTGGTTCCCTAATTGGACCACTAGAGTCAAAACTACAGCCACAGGGAAAATCATATGATTTGTGGTCCTATCTTAGAACGCATGTATTGGGATTGTGCCTTCTCAACTGCTGATGTCCATGCAGTGGAGAGTCTGCCCAGGTGCATAAGGGGGACATGACTGCCCATTTAGGCCTGCAAAGGATGTCAAGTGCCACATAAGAAGATGGAGAGTAGAGTAAGTTGGACAACTCTCCTGGCAACTTTGGCAGCAAGGGTCTGAGTGAGTGGATGCACTGAGGTGGACTCTGTCAAAGGACATTGGAAAGATTTTCTCAACTGTGAAGCAATGAGATTAACAGCATTTCAGAAATATCAAAATCACTCAAGCAATACCATCAGAACATTCTTCTCCACATTGGGGTTTCTAAGATAACCATCAAGTGGACATCCCCAATACCTGATGTAGTTTGGCAGCTACAAGCAATCCCCTCCCTTTCCTTCCCCTACTCCCACCCTAGATACACGGAGAAAAGAGAAGAAATGGAAAGCTAGAAGCACTTGTCTCACCCATGCCTTGGCCCTCCTCACCCTAATCAGTGGTCCTCATGGGCATGCATCCTTTTCAACTATGAGATGACATCAACAACAAAATACTGTTAATTCACATATAATTTTTTTAAAACAAGAATAATTGATTTGGGGTTGGCACCATGCCCTCATAGGCTAATCCTTCAGGCTAATCCTTCACTTGCAGCACCAGCATGCCACATGAGTGCTGGTTCATGTTCCCGCTGCTCCACTTTCCCTCTAACTCCCTGCTTATGCCCTGGGAAAGGAGCAAAGGATGGCACAAGTCCCTGGGACTCTGTACCCCCAATAGGAGACCTGAAAGAAGATTCTGGATAATGGCTTTGGATGGGCTCAGCTCTGATCATTGTGGCCATTTAGGGATTAAATATATATATATCTCTCTGTCTCCTCTCTAGCTCTGTCTTTCAAAAAAAAAAAAAGTGTTTTTAAAAGTATTGTTTTGTTAAGCCCAAAGACGTGAGAATAATGTTGAGCATGGTTTTTTTTTTTTCTGTTTACTTTATCTCTCATTTTAGCCACATTCCTGGAACAAAAACTAGCACTCAGCTGGGGCGTCACATAATTTTCAATGTCAATACTTCACTCTTCAAGACTCCTTTCCACCAGCCACATATTTTCTTCCAGGAAAAGAGCTTAGTAGCCATGTCTTACCCCAACTCTCCAAAGACAGATGCTTACAATAAGTGCTGTATTTGTTTTCCATTGCTACAAGAAAAAGATTTTTTTAATACCACAAACTTAACAGCTCAAA